GAAAGATATAGTTTTTATGATATTGGATACTTGAATCATCTTCGTACCTTTGGTTCTGATTCTTCTGAAGATAAAGATGAAACTAGTGTTGAAGATGGAACTAGTGTAGATATTCTTACAAGTGTTGACTGGAAAAATGTGAGGTCAATGGTGAAATTTCTTGAAACTTTTTATGTACTTATTATGTTAAGAAATCCTCAAAAATCTCTTCACATGTACCATCTTCACCCACTTCATCTAACAACTCATCAAGTATATCTAGTGTGAGTGGTTGTGACAACTTTGTAAATAGAGGAAGAATGAGAACGAAACAACAATTTGAGAAGCATAAAGAAGTTAGTGGAAGTTCAGGTAGTAAATCAGAATTGGAAAGATATCTTGCTGAAGATATTGAGCCAGATAGTGATGAATTTGATATATTAATGTGGTGGAAATTTAATGAGCCGAGATTTCCTATTCTCGCGGAGATGGCTCGTGATGTGTTAGCCATTCCCATTTCAAGTGTCGCATCAGAATGTGCATTCAGCACAGGAGGTCGTGTTCTTGATCCCTTTAGGAGTTCATTAACTCCTAAACTTGTGCAATCTCTTATTTGTGTTCAAGATTGGCTTAGAAGTGAGCCTTTTCCAATCAATATTGAGGAAGATTTAGCGTATCTTGAGCAACTTGAACTTGGTAAGAATTTGGTATTTGTATTAATTGTCTTGAAAATAATTTTCTTACTAGTGTTTCTTAACAACTAACAAATTCTTTCATATTTTTTTAGATTTTGCTTGTAGTGGGACTGAATCTAGTATTATTGATATATAGTTGCAACTTGTAAGTTCAACTATCAACTAGTGAAGCGTGGTAATGGGTAAGTAAATAACTTATTTACACAACTTGTTTGATAGTTTTATATATTTTATTATGAAATGTAGATCATTTGTCTATTTTCTCGCAGGCACATCAATGTTTTGTTATTTTCTTGGTTGCTATATGTTGGAACTTGGAACTTGGGAGTTGTTGCACCGGATGTTGCACAACAATGTTTTGTTGGTTTTCTAAATCTTTTGGTTGCTGCAAATTGCAATGCTGCCTACTGCAGCTGGACTTTAGTTTGTAACTAACTCTATTTT